TCAAGGTTGAACGATTCCCGCAGTGCCAGGAACCAACCCCGAAGTCGGCACGAGACGAACCTGCCGCACATAATTCTCTTTTTCACTAGGTGGGGGGCGCGAAGGAAGGGATCCTTGGCGGGAAGGGGTCCCTGGGTCGCTTTGTCGCCGCTCTCTCGGGACTCTCGGGGCGTTTTCTCGCCGCTCTCGGGTCTTGATGGTGCTCTGCCAGAGGGCCCCCGGGGGGGACGTCAAAAGAAAACGGCTCTGGATGAAGAGCTGGGCTTATTGGGGAAGGCCCCGAATCCAGCACCGAGCACGCTCCAAAGAGGCCCACGCAGGACCGTCATCAGAGTCGTGCGGGCTTCATTGGCATTTAGTGGCATGCCTCTTAGTGGCATCGCCCGGACGTGAGCATTTTTTTCGGCGCGGACCATCCAGGAGCATTTTGGGTCATCTAGCGTCTAGCGGGGGAAAAAAAAACACGTGAAACCGCAAAGTGTGCACGGGGAATGGACGTCTGAGCGATGGCAGGACCTCCGCCTCACTCGTTCTTCTCACCCGCTCTTTGATTTCACCCAGGGCCCCTCTGCTTCGTGGCGAGGTGGGGGGCATCCCGGAGGAGCTGCACGTGCCAGACCTCCGGGCTTTCTTCGCCCCCGCCGCCGAGGCTGGCCTCCTCGCCTGCTTCCACTATCACGGCTGCGCGTGCATACGAGCGACCCCACTCTGCCAGGGGGCCCCAAAAGGCGGGGTGACCACATCACGGGCAGAGGATCGATCACAGACTTGATCTGCCCCGAAATTGTTTTTCCGCCGGGACTGCGAAACGCACGTAGAATGCCCCGCAGATCTCGGAGCATCCTACGCGTTTCTCCTGGATTCGATGGAGAAACCAATTTCGTTGTACATCAATTCTGTAGTCGATGCCCTACTCGAACACCGCGTGGTGAGTCTGTTGGAATGCGGGGTCACTGCACGGTTTCGGGACCCCCAGCTCTGCCAGCGCGACCCGAGAGGTGCGGCTTCCGGGCGGGCGTGGGGGGGCCAGGCCAGAGCACGCAGGCCGCTGCAAGCCGCACCCCTAAGATCTAGGCGTTGCAGCGTTGTCACGCCGGGCGTCTTCGCCTCGCGCTGGGCACTGGGACCATCACGGATCGATCCGGCTCGAGACATGGCCCAGAGGATGGGTTCTAGAGCTCTGGTCGAGGTTCCCAGCGATGTTGCACAGTTCTTTCGCAACGTTGGGTTTCGGGGGGTTCAGGCAGCGGCACCGGCAGGCTGCACACCAGAAGCCACTCCTGCCCTGGGGTTCTCTCGGCGGCGCGCCGAAGGGTGGCAGTGAGAGGGGGCAGGCCTTCAAAGAAGGCGACTGGGCATCTCAGAAGACCCCCTGCCTCCTGAGAAGCCCTGTGTGGCTTGGGAGCGGGTCTTCTCTCTGAGGGCGGTAACGACGACCGTGGGGATGACCTCAGTGGTCTGGGTCACAGCAACACGAACTTTTCCAGGGATTTGAATTTGTCGGAATAGGTTGAAATTTCATGGCCCTTGACCTCGTTGTTGGGAGCGCCTGGGAGCGCTTGGGGCCATGAAAATCATTGCATGTTGCCCGCTTGGGGCCATTTTGGGGGGCCTCTTGGGGCTCGGGGCCGTCTTGAAGGACTCTTGGGCCCTTCTTGGAGATCTCTTGAGCCATCTTTGGACCATCTGGAGGACTCAATATCAGGCGATCGCAAGCATGGATCAAGGAGACGTGGATTAGCGTCGGGTACCATTTCCATGGGAAATCGCGAATCTCTGCCGCCGAACGAGGCGGCACCGGCCGCATTAGGGGTGGGCACCTCCCCCGATCCATGGATTTGGCCACCGAGCTCCAAATCCATGGACCGCTCCTCCATGCTTGCGCGCCCCCGACCATCGCCCATCGACAGCAGAAAGGAGGTACGGGGCCCGCCCCCCCTGCCTTGCCCCCTGGGCGGCGCGCCGCCGAGGCCCCCGACATCCGCTGGTGTGAGTTTTTGTCAGCCCGAGGCCCCCGAGGCTCCGACCGCTTCCCCCGACCGATCCCTTTTGGGTGGTGCCGTGGCTGTTTTTTGATCTCGGAGAGGGCATTTGTGGGAGAAAACAAAGAAAACGCCATAAACATAAATGCGTGGTGCTCCGCGCGGGGTTCTTGGATCCGCGCTGGGCCCCCCTTGGCGGCGCCTCCGGCGCCGCCCCCGGCGCGCTCCGCGCGCCAGGGAGGGGGCCCAGCCTCAAATCCAAGAAATCCGCGCGGAGCGCCAGAAAGTTTCTGCTTAAGCCGATTTTTCTTCCTCGAAAATCCCCGAGATCAAAAAAGGCACCGCCGGAGCCCTGGACCCCATCTCTCTCCTGCGGTACCTCTCAGGGCGGGATCGATCTGTCAGGGGCCGCAATTTGGCGAAAATATCCGTTGTGAAAAAAATGCAACGCCCAGATCTCAATGTCGGAGGCCGTAATCGAGGAAGGCAACCCAGATTGGGAAAAATATATCACCAGAGCTCTGTGTCTCAGGGGCAACGATCGGGGAGATTAGGAGGGGGAAACGCATCGCTTGATCGCTGATGGGACTCTGACAGCCCCACCCAACCCAGGAACGTGCGGACTCGCTATCGGTGGCCTCCTGCCGATCTATCGGCGATGCATCGCCGATTCCAGGTCGATATTTCCCCCCCTGGGCCAGTCTCCAGACCCCACCCTGTCGATGCCCCATCGGGGTTCGAGTAGGGCATCGACTGCAGAATTGATGTACCCCGAAATTGGTTTCTCCATCGAATCCAGGAGAAACACGTAGGATGCTCCGAGATCTGCGGGGCATGCTACGCACGCTTCGCAGTCCCGGCGGAAAAACAATTTCGGGGCAGATCAAGTCTGTAGTCGATCCCCTGCTCGAGGGGTCACTCTGTTTGCGCGCAGCCGACCCATCGCCGGCGCAGGGAGGACCCCCCCGCCGAGGCGGGCCCGGGCGCGGAGGCCCGCCCCGGGGCCGCCTCCGGACGCGCCGCCGCGACCGCGGAGCCAAGACCGAGCTGCTGTTGCCTCGTGCGGGCGGCCAGCGCGGAGGCGGCCGCGGACCTGCAGCGGGGCTACCACGGAGTGCCCTGGCGAGAGGTCCTCAGCTCGGAGGAGGGCCAGTCGATCGGTGCGATCGAAAGTCGGGGGTGGCAGAGAGGGGGGTGATGACTAGGGTGGGGTGGTGACTTGGGGGGGGGTGACTGGGGGGGGATGACTAGGGAGGGTGGATGCCTCCCTAGATTGCATGGCGCCCTTTCTCATTTCAGTACGTCCCCAGCCCCCCCCCTGGGCCGCGCACTTGCCGCCGGCCATGATTTGCGCCTCCCTCTTTTGGACGCCCCCCTCCTGGCCGCGCCCGCGAAATGGGTACGGAAAGAGTGGGCACGAAGACAGAGAGCAGCCCCTCTTCACTCTGAACAGGACTCGGCGTCGGTGTCGCCGCGGACGTTATTGAGTTGAGACCGCAGGCCGCCTGCACAGCAGCGGCCGCTGTCGGTGTTGGACGACAGCTGATGTTGGGCATCGTATCCATGTTTCCCTGACCCGGTCCGCAGTCGAGGCAACGGCGGCTTCCCTCTGCGTTTCTCACCCTTCTGGGCCTTCCAGAGGTTCTTCGCCGCCACGGCTTGATCCGCCTCGAGGAACGGGCCAAGGACGGACCCCAGAAGGGATCCGGGGACAGGTGGCTTACGCCCGCCTTCCGCCGAACCCCCAAAGGAGTAAAAACTTGCGACGGTCGTGGACGTTATCTAGTAGCCTTCGGGCGAACCCGTAACCGTCCCTGGGCTGTGGGTCAGGAGATTCTTGGAGGCATGTGAGTGTCTCTTGGGGTGCCTCTCAGGAGCGTCTTGGACGGCTCTTGGGGACAGATGGGGGGCTTCTTGGCTTCTCTTAAACCTCTTCGGGGCTTCTTGGGGGCCCCTGGAGGCCTCTCGGGGGCGCCTCTAGGGCCTCTGGGTGGCTCTTTGAGAAATATTGAGGGACATGTTCAACATCTCAGTTCGAGTTCATCCTCTTGGGCCCTTCATTGGGACCCTCCTGGAGCTCTCCTGGACCGTCTCAGGAGCCCCTGGAGCCGTCTTGGGACCATTTTGGGACGATCTTGGGGACCCGTTTTGGACGCTGTCAAGACGAAAAAGGCGAACATGACAAACATGTACGTTGAGCATAGAAATTCGGACGATCTTGGTCTATTGGGGCTTTCTTGGGAGTCCTCTTGAAGTTCTCTTGGGACGTCTTTGAGGCTTATTGCACGGTCTTGGGGCTATGTAGAATGTTTTGGGGCCTCTCTGGCGTATTGGAGCCCAGTTTGAGCAAGCTGATATGGAAACGTAGGCATTTTGAAGGCCACGGACTCCAGATTTGAAGGCTCCGGAGGCCCCAGGGATTGCTCGGATCCTTCCAATCCCACACGCCTTTGCACTCCTGGCAAGCGGGAGTCGACGGATTCTGAGTACTTCACCAGTTCTGGGGCGACCGATAGTCCGGGGAGGCACTTGTAGTCGCGGGGGTGGGGGGCCCTTGTAGTCGGGGGGAGGGTCCTGGCCTGAAGTCGGGGGGGCGGGGCATTGTAGCCTGGAGGGAGGGCCGTGTAGTCCAGAAGGCCGTTGTAGTCCGGGGGCCCAGAGTTTCCGAGATGCTCAGAGTAGCGTATCTGGGCCGGGCGGGAGCACAGCCGATGTCTCAACTGGCCCTCCTCCGATCGTTGACGCCCCCATCGACACAGAGGCGAGGTGCACCGTGCGGCACTGTGCTGCAGGCGTCGAGGAGAACAAGTCATTGCGTGTACTCATCTGAATTGTCAGAGCTCCGCGCGGATTTCTCAGCTCGGATCGCCAGGCCCAGCGCCGATCCGAGAAGTCCGCGCGCAGCTCCGACAGTGTCGATCTGGACCTCCTGCTGGGGTCTGAGGATCGCACCGCATCGCCGATGCATCTCCGATGCGGCTCGATGTGCATCCGACTGTCTCCACGCCGGCGTCGCCGATGCCTCGGCGAGTGCGCGCGCTCCTCCGACCCCATCTGCTCGGACCCTCTGCTGCAGGCGGGCGCGCCTCGGGGGAGCTCCAGCCGCCGCCGGCACTGCCGCAGGGCAACGTCGGCACCACGCGGCGGAAGATCCTGAACGCCATCCTCCGATGCTCGTTTCGGGGGGACCTTCCTGGGGCGCACCTAATTAACGGTTACGGATCTGTTCGATCCCAGCCCGGCTCTAGCTCGACCCTAGCTCGACTCAAGTTCGACTCAAAGTCGTCGGACGTTCTACGCAGCATCGACGCGTGAGTGGAGCGAGTGGCTCCAGGGAGGTACCCAGAGAGAGTTGCTGAAAAAGACAACCGAGCTCTGGGTTAAGCCTCCCGCCGCCGAAGCTACCGTTCCCAAAGATGAGAACGACTTCCAGGCTCGAAATCCTTGTCCGCGACTTGAGAACCGAGCTTGCACACAGCAGTCAGCATCGCCGAACGGCGAGATGAACTCGTAGGGCATCGATCGGAAGGTCCCCAGAACGAGCATCAACCATCCGCAGCTGCCAGCTGCCGCCCTCGGTGGTGCGGCGGCTGGGCGTCGTGGCGCCGAGCTCGGAGCTGCGGTGCGTCCGGGACTTCGTCGCCGTGGCGCCGCCCAGCTGCTGGCGGCCCCGCGCCCCCGCAGAGGCGGCGCCGCGGTCAGCCCCGCCCGGTGCAGGGGCCACTACAGATCGCCGACGATACGATTTTCTCAGTTGGCAGGTTTTCCTCCAGGCCCTCTCCTGGGGGGGGGGGCGCTATGTATCCCATGATCCTCGGGGCGTGTGTTAGCCCAAGCGTGTGCTCACCCCGTGTGGCTCCGCCGACAGCGCGCAGCCCGTGTCGGCCCTCGTTGCGCCGCATACGTCGTGTCAAAGCGCCTCGGTGGGCAAGCACATGTTGGCGCCAGCCCACGTTGTGAGGATCATCGACTGATCTCCGATGGTATGATGTTTTGTTTCAGCTGGCGGGTTTTCCTCGAGCTCGGCTCCCTGGGGGCCGCTTTCGGGCCCCAGGGCCATCAAAAACGGGTCCAGGGCGAAAAACTGCCCACGGGGAAGCGTCGGGACATCTGGAAGCGCCGACTGAAAAAAACCGATCGGCGGATGTGAGGGCTGGCTGGGGCGACGCCCGCGCCCGCGGTGGCGCCCGCGCCTCCCGGGCAGGCCCCGACGGCGCCTGCACCGGCCCCACCACTGCCAGCGGTGGCCAGCGGGCCGCCGCGCCCGGCCGAGCCGCCCGAGCGGGCCCCGATGGCGCCCGCTGCAGACACCTGCAGTGCCGGGGCCGAGGGCGGCGGGTCTGCGTGGCGGCCGCCGCCGCGCCTGGTCGAGCCGGCGTTCGAAGAACGGAAAACGGACGGCATCAGCAGATCGGGCGTTGCTAGAGGTTCCCCTGGCCCAAGGTGCCCCCAGGATTTCCAGGGAGGCCCCCACGGCCTCCAGCGCACCCCCTCCGAGTCCCAGAGGGCACTAGGGGCTCCAAAAATGGAGCGAAAGGCTGGGGGCACCTCGAGCCAGGGGCACACTCAGCAACCCCCGAACATAGATTGTCGGAGCTCCGCGCGGATTTCTTGGGGGGAAGGGGCAGGCCGCGCTCTCCCTCCACGGGAAAGCGCATTATCGCCGACCCTTCCGCCGCCTCCCCCCCCCGCCCGGGCGCCGGCACCGGGCGCCTCCACCGCCTGGTCCAGCCAGGCGCGGAGGCGGTCGACGGGCCAGCCCACGAAGTGGGGCTGGAGAGCGGCCACGCGGGCCCTCGGCGCGTTGACCCGCGCCGAGACCAGCGCGGCCTTGACCGAGGCCTCGTCCTCCGCGCTCTCCACCTCCGCGCCAGCAGCAGCAGCCGCCGCAGGCGCACCCTCCGCGGGCAGCATGGCACCCTCCCCCTCGCCAGCGAGCCCTGCTCCAGGCGACTCACGAATGGCTCGGCGCTGGGCCCCTAACCCTGATAACACGATGAAGGCGAGGTCTCACTGAGGCCCCCGTCTTCGCATGCGGGATCATACATCTCGGCGGTTTGGTTCGATACGTCTGCTGCAGAAACGACCCCTTACCCCCATTTTTCTGGCCCTCCCAACTTAGGTCCCCTCCCAAAGGGGTAGCGGGGGACCTTTTTGGTGTCTCATGCTAGCGCCGATCCAAGAGATCCGCGCGGAGCTCCGAGCGTTTGTGGTCGTGCAGCGCGTTGTTCCTCCAGGCGCGGCCTGCGCCGGCCGGCCCGCCGCTCTTCCGCAGAGCGCCGGCGCGCCCGCCCGGGAGCGGCAAGGTCACGGTGCCGGCGGTCTCTGGCGCGGCTGGGCGGGCGCCCCGCAAGCGCCAGCGCGCGGCGAGCCCGCCCGCCGCAGCGCCCGCGCAGCCTCCGCCAGGCCATCGCGCCCCTGGGATCTTGGCGTCCCGATGTCCCGTGAACAGCTTGTCTGTCAGGGCATTTGATAGGTACATGTGCGTATGTTGGCCCAGCCAATTACCCTTTCGGCCCTCCCGATGAGCCACACGCTGGCGCGGAATGCCTCTGCCTCGCCGCCGACGAAAAAAAGTGTACAACGTTAGCCAGCGTGTACCCTGAACAGCGATTTCTTGCAATCGATGCGGTGCAATCACGGTGGTGAAATCTGGGTGGCGCAGTCCATGTGGTGCAGCGTACGTGGTGCAATGCGAAGCAGTGTGATGCGATGCGAAGCAATGCAAAGTAACGTAATGCGATGCGAAGTAATGCAAAGCGATGGAAAGCAATGCAGATCAACGCAACGCAATGCAAAGCGATGAAATGTACTGCGGTTCGCTGTGCCAAGCAATGCAAATCAACGCAAAGCAATTCAAAGCAACACAAAGCGCGGCGATGCAAAGTAATGCAAAACAATGTTATGCGACGCAGGGCAATACAAATCAATGCAATGCAAAGCGATGCGAAGCAATGCAAAGCGACGCGGCAACGGGCGGCGACGAGCCAGCCAGACCGCCACTGGGGTCTATCAGCGACAGCGGCGACGGGTAGCGACGAGCCGGCCAGACCGGCCCCGGGGCCCAGTTACGATAGAACACGAGTGAGCGACGGAAGAAAACGGGGTCGATGGCGCCGACATTCGCACGTAACACTGCCCGCGTAAAGTCACGCGCAAGCGCCCATGTTTCAAGTGAAGCGTCCCTCGCTGGCGGCCTGCGCAAGCCACCGCACACGGTCGATCTGGCATCTCGCGCAAAGTCGTTTTTCGTCACTCAAGGAAGAACCCCTAAGTGCAAGAAGCACTGTTTGGGGAATATTTGAAGAAACCGAGTGCGGGGCGACCGTGATTTGGAATCGGTAGAGCGCCAGTCTCCCGTTGTTTTCATGTTCACTCTAGGCCCCCTCGTCGCCACTGTGTGAAGGGTCCTATGCCGCAAGGGCGAAATTTGCCACAGCGGGCGACGTTGTGCTCTGCTTCGGGCCCCAGGGCCATCACAGCTCGACCCGGCTCGAACAGTGGCAGACAAAGATGTGGTCTGGGGCTCCGGTCGTGTTTTTTCATTGTGTTGCAACATTCAGTCACGCGCAGAAAGGAGGCAGGGGCAGGGGAGAAGGCTTCTTAGTAGCACCTCGGGCCTTCCCTACAGATGTACGGCCGGCGCCTTCTAAGAAGCAGCCTGCTTCTAAGAAGCCTTCCCCCCCCTCCTCCTGCCCCCCCTTCTGCGAGCCGCCAAGATGTTTGCACACCGTCGGATCTCGGGGGCGTCCGAGCGGGATCGCCCTGGGCGGAGCCGGGCCGGCTCGGGCGGCGCCCGCCAAGGCCAGGGCGACCGGCGAAGGCCAGGCTCGGGGAGCGGCGCGTCCGCGGGCGGCGCCGAGGTCGAGGAGTCGGGGGAGGCGGTCCCCGAACTTGGCGTCGGCTGCGCAGCCCTGGTCGTTTCGTTCCGGGGAAGCGTAAGACTCTAGTTTTCCGGACCTCGGGTTTGCCGACGCATTTTGACGAGCGCGTCTTGGGTTCCGACGGTCCAGTTTTCGTGAGATGTTTGCAGCGTGAGTTTGCGTCAAATTTCAGAATGGGTCTCGTCCTTTTCGTGATCGCCCCGTCAGGCCGACCCGATTCTCCCGTACCCGAGTCTTACGTCTCCCCGGTACATTGGACATGCTTGTTCTGTTCGGTGCCTTGCCTCGGGCGCGCTTGCTGGAGGGCCTCGCCTGCACGGGGTGATTCGTACAGTGGAAACCCATGCCAAGGAAACACCCTGCTTGCCTCCAGGGTACCCTGGGTTTCTTGGGTTTCGATGGTTTTGCGATGGCAAGTGTGACGCACCCACACCAAAAATCAATGGTCGTCCTGGGGTCTCAGGGCTGTGTGTTCTTGTGGAAGGTTTCTTGTGGTCGGGCTCCTGATTACTGTACGAGGGTGGCTCTCCTGACCTCCCAGGAGGCGCACCAGCCTCGGCCGCCGGATGACTCCGACGACGGCCTCGACGAGCCGATCGAGAAGGCGCCGCACTACGAGAAGACGGACCGCCTGGACTCTGCGGCTGGCTACCTGTACGAGGACGTCGTGGAGGATGTTTGGGACAAGCACGAGGCGAGCGGGCTGGTCCACTACACCGACGCGGCCTTCTGGGACCGCATGGCGGGCGGCCTCGACGAGCGGGCGCACGACGGTTGGGACGTGGAGGAGGAGCACAGCGAGGGCGGCGGCGCCAGCGCCTGGAGCTCGGACGCGAGCGGTGGCGCGGACGCGTCTTCGGACACGGGCGCGGCCGACGGACCTGGGCGACGCGGCCGCCGTGTCCGCCACCGCCGGCGGGGAGGGCTCGCCGGCGTGCGGCGGGGCGCGGCAGGGCGCATCATGAGGCGTTGGGGCCACGCGTGCGGGGAGGAGCTCAGCGACACGCTGCTCGCGGTCATCTCGGGTCGGACCAACGGGGAGCAGTTGGGAAAAGGGGGGGGCACCGATACCGCCACCGTCTACCCTTTCCTCGTTTTCGCCTCTGCGTGCCTCGGGGGAGGCCATCGCCGCCACGGCTAGATTCGCACCAGAATTCTGGTCAGAACGCACCCAAGGAGAGGTCCGGGGAGTGGCGACATCGGTACCTCTTGGTTTCCACAAGCTGCTGAATGCAGTTGGTTGTTCGGCCCCGCCGCCAGGCGCGCTCCTCGGTACGATAGCGCCTCCGAGGCGCTGGGGAAATCTCCGAATTACGTGAGCTGATTGGCTGCTTTCCCCCCCGCCTTGATATCCCAAAAGAGTTCTGACGTCCGGATTGTTCAACAGTGTCGACCCCCAGAGATCTGGATCAGTGTTTCGTCCCGAGTTGCTTCTTGACGGTCCCGGGGCCGGGCGAGGGCCCCCGGAGGCCGACGATTGCCAAGAACCTCCCCTCGTGATTTTTGTCCCCCCCCTCCGTCCGACCCGACCATCGCTGGCACCCAGCCCAACACGCGCCGCTCCGGCCTGGGCTGGGCCGTGTGCGACCGCGGCGGCCGACGGCGTTGCCGCAGGCAGACGGCACAGAGCGACGACCAGTGGCTGACCATCGGCTCCTCGTTCGACTCCGCCCGTCGCAGAGGCGGCGGCGCCAGCACCGCTGACCCCCCTGGCGGCGACACGGAGCTGAAGGCTCGGGCGTTGCGAAATAGGGGAGCGAAGAGTGGGGGGGTTAAGGTAGTGGAGGGTGAAGGTGCACTGTTCTTGCACCTCATGGGGCCCTGAGGGGGCCTCCTGGGGCACGAAAGGTACACGTTTCCCCCCCCACACCCATTTCTCGCCGCCCCATTTTTGAGCAACGCCCGAAAGGCGCGGCAACCGCGCGGGTCTTCGGAGGGGCGTGTCGCGGGGTCCTTCCAGGCCGACCCCGCTGGCCTGGCGGCGGAGCAGATGCGCGCAGTGCGCTTCGTCCCAGCCGAGAAACCCTCCTTTCATGTTTGGGGGCAGCGTGTTGAATCGGTGCAGTACTACGGCGCTGGAAGCACCGGTGTCGCAGAGTTGGCTCCGGCTGGAAATGTTAATTTCTACCTTGCCATCTCATTGTTTAGGGCAACCGTGAATTGGAACGCGCACAACGGACATATTTCCCCAAAAAACGGTACATTGAATAGGCCCGTCGCATTTATGCTCCAATTCCCCCGCCCATTCCCGCTCCTGCACCCGCCCTCGCCCCCACTCCACTTCGCTACTCTCGCCCTCAATCCCAAAGCTCTTCCCAATGCCAATCCCGCGTCAACCCAAGCATTGCATCTCCCGCGTCCCTCCCACAGCAGTCCGTGTCCACGATCCCACTTCCTATTCGTGAATATGTGCGCTTTTCCAAGATTCTCAGAATGCATGTCAATAGTACCGTTCGGAAAACCATCAGGATATTATGACTGGCAATGCGACATCAATGCAAAGGCTCTACATAATCCTTGCAATTCCGTTCATTGGTCGCCCCCGCAAGAGATGTGCATACGCATCGACACAATAATCATGCTATATGTTTCTGTTGCATCCCATCTATCCGGCACAGCCAATGCATCTTGGAACAAATCATCTGGAGCCAAGGAGACAGAGGACCCAAGTTCGGGGCACCGGGGCTAGCTTGATAAAGCCGTCCTCGAAATAATAAGACCCAATCTGAAATTTGACGCGAGTTCCTGCTGCAAGCATGTCTCGAAAATTAGAGCGTCAAAACCGAAGACGTCCTCATTAAAGAACATTTGTAAACCTGAATTCCTTTTTGTTGAAAGTTCAGCAAATTGTACTTCCATGCGCCCACCTAGTTTGAATGGCCTACCTTCCATATTGCATACATCCATGCGGTACGCTATCGTAGCTGCATTTTTTGGGCGGTCGCTGTTGCGCCAAAAATTGCGGGCTTCCCGCCTTCGTTCTGTTCTGCTGCGAATTTCGTGTGCCTTGGTGCGAATCCCTCAGTACTCTGTTGCGGATATGTTTGTGCTCTGTTGCGGATCCCTAAGTGTTCAGTTGCGGATCCTTCTGTGTTCTGTTGCGAATCTTATTGTGTTCTGTTGCGGATCCCGTCTTGCCTTGTTGCGATTGTTGTGTTCCGTTGCGAATCCCGTTGTTCTCTGTTGCGAATCCCATCGTTATGTTGCGAATCCCGTCGATTGTTGCCAAGCCCGTTGCTGTTCCCCCGTGCATCCCCCAACGAACGGCGTGTTTGAATCAAGCGGAGACTTGTGGGAACAAAAAACACCCAACAGTGTTTGCCACTGGTATGTGGTCAGTTCAATTCTTGGGGTTTGAAGAATTTGAAAGGTCCACACCTGGTGTTTGCCCAGACTGGGGCATCGAGGGACCATTATATTGTGGTAGTTGCGCGCACTGTGCTGCACACGGTGCAAGCTGCACCACAGCGTCTATGTACACCACGTCCCTTGTGTGGACAGCATCACCAAAATAGTATTAAAAACAACAACGATATTTCTTGAAAAAGAAACGACACTGACATCACGTCTCCGAAATTCCAATATTCCCGAATCCTCCCGCGTCAATATAATTCTAGACGCTTCGCGTATCCCCACCAGCCCTCTTAGGCAGCTTAGTTGTTTAGGTTGCGCGGCTCTTGTCTGTTCCTGTTTTAAGTGGGCCCGCGCCCCTGACTTACGACTCGCCGCTTGCGCTCTCGCATGCGGCTGCGACCAAAAAAAGTATCCCCACCAGCCCGTCCAGAAATGATTCCCAGGGGAGTGGAGGTTATGAGGGAAGCGGGGGAGCATGAAGAAGAACAAAGGGCGGGGTGAGCCGCCATATACCCCAAGAGGGGGAGGATGTAGGAGGAGTCGTCGCCGTCGGAGTAGGAGGAGGAGCAGGAGGAGGAGGGGGAGGAGGAGGAGGAGGAATATGAGGAGGAGGAGATGGAGGACTGCGAGGACGAGGAGGACGAGAAGGAGGAGAAGGAGAAGGAGAAGGAGAAGGAGAAGGAGGAGGAGGAGGAGGAGGAGGAGGAGGGGGAGGGGGAGGGGAAGGAGGGAGGAGGAATAAAAAGAGGAGGAGGAGGAGGACAATGGCGAGCTTGGGGGCCTCTTGGGCCGTCTTTGGGGCCTCTTGGCGGTCCCGGGGGCCTCTTGCGTATCTCGGGGAGCCTCTTGTGGCCTCTTGGGGGTCTCTTGGGAGCGTCTTGGAGGCCTCGTGGGCGCCTCTTGGGGCCTCTTGGGGCCCTCTTGGGACACTCTTGGGGCGCTCTTGGATCTTGGAGGAGATATATCAAAGAAGGGGGGGTTCTTCATTAGCGTCACCCCTCTAGAGTGCCTCGAATCGCCTCTTGGGCCCCTCGTGAGGCGACCTTGAAGCGCTCATGGGCGCTCTTGAGGCCGTCTTGGGGCTCTCTTGGGCCTCTCTTGGGGCCCTCTTGGGCCATCTTGGAGCTGTGTTGACTCCTCCTCGGGCGCGGCGTCATCCGGCGGCCCCGCTCCCGGCGACGTTGGCTGGACTGGCGGCGCCGCCGCAGCTGCCGCGCCGATTGCGGCGACGGCGCGGAGGCCGAGGGCGCCACCGCCCTGGCAGCAAGGCCGCGCCGAGCCACGCCGAGAGCAGTCGGGGCGGCACTCGCAGGACGCGCCCAGAGGCATGTAAGCGCGATTCTTTTGAGCACTACCGCGGCAACACATGCCGCGACTGGTCATGCCACTTTAAAGACTGGATCTACGTTGACGGAAACGGCGCCTGCGTTGGCAGACTTGGAAGTCGTGTAATGTCCCTTCCTTCCTCCTCCTCCTCCTCCTCCTCCTCCCCCTCCTCCTCCCACCCCTCCTAACTTTTTAATTCATGTTCGCTTCCAAGTCGGAGCCCAATTTTTCGGCAGCATTGCTCACGCACTCTCAAAGAGTCTTGGTGTGGTTGCGGAGCCGTGAGAAAGAAAAAACATAGTCGTATCACAACACGCACAATCGGGCATGTCGATAATCGCGGCAATCGCATTTGGGATCTTGCATACTACGATCCCCACAGGTTCCGTTGATCGGTTTTCATATGTCACGGTTCCGTTACAGACATTGCGGCATCATGGACATGGTATGACTTCATCACATACCTGTTCGGCACTATGGGCAAAAAATACTCCGGCATTTCGCCCGCAACCACATACGCAAACATTCCGTCGACATCATGGACAGAAACGCACCCAGCCAGGCCGATGTCGGAAACACAGAGTTCGTCATATGCAAAGCATGATCCCCGTGATTCATTTCAGCGGCGTCATTTTTGAAACCATATATATATATATATAATTTATAAGTCCCGAACCCTGGAGCTGCCAGGCCAACTGCGGAACGAATGCCGAGAGGCATCAACGTATCTAAAGCGGAGCTGCTGCCGAGAGGCACTCGATATATACAAACATCATTTCCACAAGTTGTCTGAACGCGAGTGGACCTGCTTCCAGTCATTCACAAAAGAAGCCAGACGCGTCTCTGCGCCCCCAGTCAAATCCCCCAGTCAAATCTAATTGTGCACACTTTCATCTATGCTCCACGGGTGGGAGTGGCGGGAAGAGCTTGACATGTGGTCAGAACCAAGACGGCAGCGGCGGGCAACGAGGGACCAGAGTGATCGAGATCGTTTATAGGTCCCGAGCCCTGGAGCTGCCAGGCCAATTGCGGAACGAATGCCGAGAGGCATCAACGCATGCTGCTGCCGAGAGGCATTCGAGATATAGGAACATAATGTCCACCAGTTGTCTGGACGCGAGTGGACCTGCTTCCAGTCATTCACAAAAGAGACGAGACGCATCTCTGCGCCCATCTCGCCCCATCCTGGCCCCCTGGCCCGTGCTATCGTGAGCCGAGGGCGAGGTCCGAAAAACGGTCGAGGGCGAGGCGATCGGTTCTTTGTCTCAACCTATCGGCGACCCGACGAGCGGTCAGCTCGCCAAGTCTCAAGAAGGGCGAGGGTCGACCTCCAATGTAAACAACGTGGCGGCAAGCGTGGCCGTCACCGAAACCAAAGCCACAGTGAACCGCGCTCAAAACCAATTTGCAATGAGGTGCAGACGGCACAAGCGAGCAGGGAGAGCATAACTTGGAACGGGC